GGCACAATTCTTAATGGATTTTGACGAAACTTGGCATGAGTGTTTGTTATCAACCAAGGATAAACCCTATTGAAAGTCAGAAAAATCGAAAAATATTTAGTATGAGTTATTGCCCTTGTTCTTGAAAATGTGTTCAATTTTTAGCTCTAAAACACTAAAAGGCAATATTGTTGCTGGATTTTGACAATACTTGGTTTTATTATTCAGTCCCGCGCTGAAGATTGAATATTTGCCTTCTAGAGTGTTCAAGAACTAAAAATTGAACACGTTTTCAAGAACTAGGGCAATCACTCATACTCAATATTATTCAGTATCGCCCCAAAGAGTTCAAGAGAAGTGTATGACTGAAGGTTGAATATTCCATACTGGTGATTTTTACTGTACTGCTAAATATTTTTATTCAAAATCAAAGCTGCCAGTGGCGTATATTACCTTGCCTGGCAAGCTATCTTTTATACGATCTTGATGAAACTTTGTATGAGATCTCTGTAAAGCTTGAAATTAGTGAAAATAGGATGATTGGTTTCACATATTAAACCACTACAAAACTTTGTTACTTTATCATTTCTGACAGCTGGTAGTGGGCATATGTTACCTTGCCTGGCAAGCTATCTTTCAATGAATGATTAGTTGATAGAATGGAACATTAAATCCTCTATATAGTAGGTAGTAATAAAGACTTCTATTTATAACTCCATGAAGAGCACAGACAGAGATAACACCCCAGGGTATGGCCTTTTAGTAAATGAATACAGTCTAACTTGTATAAAGTAGCCAGTCAAGGGAATGCTCAAAGGTGGCTGCTTACTAAGGGGTGGTGTATAATAGAGGTATGGTTTATCCAGCTAAGAATGAAAAGTTGATATTTTGAGATAACATTTAATAATACATACATGTATAACAATACAAATGGAATTAACCATGTTCAACATTAAAATAATCTTTTAGACATGTCTGTTTTACACTTTTGATTTTCTTGTTGCTAATTTTTCCCTTAATAATCATAACCACATTTAAAACATCAAAATCATCAGATTGCACTGATGAGAATAATTGCAGCGAAATCGAAAACTTCAAAGAATTACAATCCATGCGTGAGTTGTATTCGTGGATTATAGACAATGGATTTTCTGTTTGGCAGTAATTAATCTTGATTTTAATTTTAACAAGGATTAACAAGGATTATCGACAAATGATCGTTGATTGAAGTGTTTAGTGTTAAGAAAATGGTGACCGCTGAGGGTGGTGTTCAATAGAGGTAAATTTGGTTGAAAATTGCACGGGATGTATTTTTGGTGCTGAATACAGGTGACCGTTATACTGTACTTTATTTTTAGAACAGTGATGATCGCTAAACAAATAGAAATGAAACAAATATCGGCACCTTAATAATAACTTTCAAATACATATAGGTGATTAAATGCTAAACCATATGTTGTACCTCTTATGCACTGCACAACTGAACTATTAACTTTGGTCATATCCCAATAGAAATATCTGAACCAGTTTGATATGATCAGGTAGTTTGCTTTCGTACTGCAATCCTATCTGCATAACTGCTTTCACATTGTTGAGAAAAGTTTTCTAGATAACTTACGTTTTTAGTTACACGTCATGCAACAGTTGATAAAATTGAACTACTATGTTCACTATTATAAAATATGAAAATAACAATTTAATTTCCATTTTCTCTTAATGCAAATCCCTTTCTTGTGATTTCCAACTATTTCCAGGAGATGTCATTTTCTGTTTATTTACGTGGTACTCCATGTGATATTCTTATACATAACATCTTTTTTGGTTTCGCACTGCCGCTTATCTAGATCGTATCCAAATAAAATCCATCTCTGAAGGTAGATGTTTCTATCTAGATAACTTAAGGTTATAACCCGATAAGTTTATTTGCCAGTGTAAAAGCAACTGAAAGTTAATCGGATAGAACTGGATAGAATTGAATTTCTTTTGCATTGCAAGAGGGGTAATATATGTTTATTATTACTAGCAAGATAAGAGTAATGTCACAATTATGTCAATGATAACAAGGCATGCCAGAAAACTTACCGACCACATAAATCTATGTCCTGAGCTCTGTCTTCAATTCTGTGATATTCATGAATGGTGTTGATAGGGGATTTGATGCCATTTGTCTGTCAGGTTTGAGTTGTTTAATAATAACTTGTAACTTGTATGCAACAGCTCAACTACTGAACACCACCTCGCACGGCTTGTGAACGCAATATTGTTATGAACCCATTTAAATGTCTCTTCAGTTCTGCATGCCAAGAGGCTGTCACCGCAATCGACCCTTTTTATGTGTGCCCTCAAGATATTTGGTCTTAATCTAGTCACTGAGGCAATTGGCATCCTTTGTCTGTGAAGACAATCATTTCTATTATATTTTGTGGAATGGAGGGTTTGATTCTCCCTTTTGTTTATAGACGTGAGGGGGATTTCACTCTCATAATGGGCATGGACTGTCTTACTTGCTTGATTGCTGGTTATATTGAACCAATCCTAGCTTGACAGAATTTAGTTTTTTTGGCAGATCAATCTCTATGAGCTCAATAGGAATTCTAATGTTGTAATGTTACCAATGCAGAGGCATGTAGGTGTAACATCTAGCGAGAGAGTATTGTTTCTGCAGTTAGTTTTAATAATATAACATACAGTACTACTCTGTGTAATCTGATATTCTTTGGGACCGTAAAACTTTGTCGGATTAGCAAAGTGTTGGAGTACTCAAAGTTTTATAGCTCAGTGACCTAGATAAGTTTCTACAATACCTTTCTATAGGTGCCGGTTGTTGACTGCTCTATATCATGTTATGAAAATGTGGAATTATTATATTAAAAACTGATATCTTGAGAATGGTTGTGTATTTTATGATGATTTGGGGTCCTTCCCTTTCGTTAAAAGTCGATTTCATGTCCAGCAGATTTTTATTTAATGTTTTGACAGCATTTCAAACCTTCAACATAAAATTAAAAGAAAGATGAATGGATCAATCTCTGTCAGACTTGACATATCAGATAACAATTATAGTGCGAAGAATAATATAATGTTTTGTTTTTTCATGTTTGTTTATTCGTTTAAGTGGTAACCAAGAAAAATATTTAAGAGGAAAAGGAACAAATTAATCTGGAACCAAACTAATTAGAATTTTCTTAAAAGATAAACATTATTCTCTTCCTTATAGAATAAGCTTTCTAACAAGACCAATAGTGTTGACTTCACATTTTGTTTGTAAATTGATCAAGAATGTCTTTCCATTTCTGTAAAAAACTTTTACTAAATTGTTAGTATCTCGGGTACCAAAAGATGTAGGTTCGGAAAACTTTCACACAAGCATTTTTTCTTTACATTTGTGAATACAACAGAGCAGCAGGCCTGTTCATGGCATGGGCATGACGTTAGCCCTTTAAGACCGATGGTTTAGAATCATAGTCCTAGCTTTCGATGATGGATTTGGGCACCAAGGTATTAATGAATTTCTGTATTTGTTTTATCAGGAAGATAAATGTCAGTTTTGATGTGCTGATAGTGTTTTTCAGGATGCAAATTAGGTTCCAGGAAATGCCAGAAATCGGGATGTTGCATCAGCAGCCCCCAAGACCCCCTGCAGGTTTTGTTAGGTCGCTATTTTCAGCTTTTTTTTTTCCTTTGCAAAATCATGTCATGTAGGTACACTTAGATTCAGCATATCACGAATACAGGTTTTGACATGGTCTTATTAACCTGTATTAAACTAAGCCTACTTCACTTCGTTTTGTGCATGGAAATGATAATTGGTGCTATTTGAGTCTGACCAATCAGATTTTGAGGACGTAAATGAGGTCATGTAAATAAAACACAACATCGCTTTCCACCGCTCACTTGAACAGATAAGAACATATTCTTTCCAAGTAAATATTCCAAAGTAAGGTTTGATTTCCTCTGGGCTTCAATTCTTTACCGAAAATCTTACTCAATTCTGTATTGTACATATTAGGCTAATCAAAATATGTAATGGCATGCTGCTTTCGTTTTGTTTACGTTAGCAAACAAAGCATCCCGTGGTTTGGACACAATGACCTAGATTGGGACATATGTCAACTACAGTGGACATGAGGAGGATTCTTAACTTCCAGCAAGCAAAGAGTCACAAAATGTGACTATCGATAGGAATAGCCCAAGGGTAGGCATTTATCAATATAAAAAGAAATTATTTATCAGAAGGCATATCGATCTATATCGATGTGATTGTTCAAATTATGTCAAATATCATCGGAGCAATTGTGCGAGCTCTTTTGAAAAAATCAAAATAAAAAATTATCGGACAGTAAGCAAAATTTCATTCTTTTCTAGAGTTGTTGAAAAACCAAAGCTTCACTTATTAGCTTCACCAAACATGTTGATAACAATGATCTCTTACCAGAGTGCATACAGGTCAAATGATAGCACTTGAAGATCTACAATGGCATTTTACAGAACTTTGAAACCGAAAGTTGTCGCTATTGATTTGAGTGCCACCATTGATACTGTTGTTTTGTTGTTGTAGGTTGGATTGATTCTTGCCTATCTGATCGATCTGATCGTTTATATTAACAGCACTAATTCTGACGTACAATCAATAAATTTTTCTGTACTCTATTAGGTATAAAAGATGCAGTTTATTTTACCTGCTATTTATACTTCAATAATTCTGTCAACAAGGTATTCAATCTTGTTGGATATACAGACGATCACAATGTGTATGATACCACTTCATCATACAATATAATAACAATTCTTAAAATTACATTTCACTTAAATTTAACAAATTATTCTTAAATTCTTCTTATCCTACTCAACGTGACTGTACTGGGCAAGTATCGATAAAAGGATGATTGACAGGCATTCATAATTGAGTTATTGGAGCCGCAGTAGCTCAGTGAGTTAGACGCTTGCTCACTAACCTGAAGGTCCAGGGTTCAATCCCGGCATAGGTCGAGATATTTAAACCCGGTTTCCCCCTGTCAGTGATGCAGGTAAGAGGGGCTGACATGGAAAAAGCGTCTTGTCGTTCGGATGGGACAATAAATCGAGGCCCCGTGTGCTACAGGCTGTGCATGTTAAAGATCCCTCGACAGTTGGAAATCGAAAAAGAGCAGGCTAATGCCGCTGTCCTGGCAAAATTTCCCTCATGGCACCCTGCATGGCGTTGCCCGTCTTCATTAACCCACATGGTGCAGAAAAGTGGGACGTAAAACTCCATTCATTTCATTTCATTTATGATTGAGTTATTACAAGTCAAAAGAAATTGAATAATTGTGAAATGAATATTATTTGTACAGTGTTTTATTTTTGCAAAATCAATAAGATATATGTAATATATAATCCCTTCAATCACAGTGAGAATTGAGACATTTGTTATAAGCTCACATGAAAGAGGGGGCAGGTCGTGTATTGGTGTCAACCATTGCCACTCTAGAAGGGACAATTCTTCACAGATTTTGACGAAAATTGGTGTGAGTGTTTGTAATCACCCAAGGATAAACCTTAATGGAAATTAGAAATATTTAGTATGAGTTATTGCCGCTTTAAATTTTTAGCTTGTAAACACTCTAGAAGGTACAATTACTGACAGATTTTGATGATACTTGGTGTAAGTGTAATTTTCTAAGGATGAACCCTATTGAAAATCAGAAAAATCGAAAAATACTAAGTCTGAGTTATTGCCCTTGTTTTTGGAAAAACATTCAATGTTTAGCATTTAAACACTCTAGAAGTGACAATTCTTGATGGATTTTGATGAGATTTGGTGGAATTGTTTATCATTACCCAAACTTGAATCTTATTGAAGCTCAGAAAAATTTAAAAATATGTTATATGAGTATTTCAATTTTTATACGCCCACATGAAATGTGGAGCGTATATTGCCGTCACCCATGTCTGTCCGTCCACAATTGCTCGTAAACACTCTACAAGGCACAATTCTTGAATGATTTCGACGAAACTTGGTATGGTTGTTTGTAATCACCAAAGGATGAACCCTATTGAAAATCAGAAAAATCAAGAAATATTTAGTATGAGTTATTGCCCTTGTTCTTACTGCCTTCCACCATTTGTAGTTTGTTTCTTACTGTGATGAAGTCAAAACTTTTTTGACGAAACGTTGGGTATTTTAAAGGATGGTATTTGATGTCAAGTTTTATTATTTATTACACCAAGTTCAGTATACATCAAATGAATCGCTGTACTACTAGTGGTATTGGTGATCCCATCAAATAGCCTTCTGTGATTGGTTTTTGCTGACTGTTTTTTCTTTTTGGAGTCACCCCATTTCATGTGGGCGTATGATAAAATTGAAAAATATTTAGTATTAGTTATTGCCCTTGTTCTTGAACACCCTAGAAGGCACAATTTTTGATGGATTTTGACGAAACTTGGCTTGAGTGTTGGTTATCACACATGGAAATGAAAAATATTTAGTATGAGTTATTGCCCATGTTCTTGAAAACACCTTCAAATTTTAGCTTGTAAACACTCTAGAAGGGACAATTCTTGACGGATTTTGGTGGAACTTGGTGTGAATGTTCGTAATCACCCAAGAATGAACCCTTTTGAAAATCAGAAGAATCTAAAAATATTGAGTATGAGTTATTGCCCTTATTCTTGAAAACACAATCAATTTTTAGCTTGTAAGGCACAATTCTTGACAGATTTTAACGAAATTTGGCTTGAGTGTTTGTTATTACCCAAGGAAAAAGCCTATTGAAAATCAGAAAAATTAAAAAATATTTAGCATGAGTTGTTGCCCTTGATCTCTAGAAGGTATGATTCTTGCTGGATTTTGACAAAACTTGGTTTCATTACAGCGCTGAAGATTGAATATTTGTCTTCTTGAGTTTTCACGTGCTAAAGATTGAACACATATTCAAGAACAAGGGCAATAACTCATACTCAATATTATTCAGTATCGCCCTAAAGAGTTCAAAAGATGTGTATGACTGAAGGTTGAATATTTCATACTGGTGATTGTTACTGTACTGCTAAATATTTATGTTCAAATTCAAAGCTGCCAGTGGGCATATATTACCTTGCCTGGCAAGCTATCTTTAAAGTTAAAATGAGGACTTTTCTTGATAAGTGAGAAAGTTTTGGTTGTTGTTAAGACTATTTGTTAAGACTATTTCCATATATTTGTAAGACCCAAATAAACCCCCCATAAATGCATGGCCTTAAAAGAATAACCAATATGTATATTAAGGAAATTTTTGTTTACTGTTTCAGATGCAGAAGAATTCAATGGAACTAGCTCAAGCTATTAAAGAATTAGAAGAAAGTACTGCAGCATTAGAATCAACTTATGAAGCAAAACCATCAGGTTATGATACTAGCAATACTTCATTAAAATTTTGATATGCCCACATGAAATGGGGGCGTATGTTGCCATCACCCATGTCCGTCAGTCTGCCCGTCCGTCCACAATTGCTCGTAAACACTCTACAAGACACAATTCTTGATGGATTTTGACAAAACTTGGTATGAGTGTTCGTAATCACCCAAGGATGAACCCTTTTGGAAATCAGAAGAATCAAAAAATATTTAGTATGAGTTATTGCCCTTGCTCTTGAAAACGTGTTCAATTTTTAGCTCATAAACACTCTGGAAGGCACAATTCTTGGTGGATTTTGACAAAACTTGGTGTGAGTGTTCGTAATCATCCAAGGCTGAACCATATCGAAAATCAGAAGAATTGAAAAATATTAAGTATGAGTTATTGCCCAATTTTTAGCTCGTAAACACTCTAGAAGGGACAATTCTTGACGGATTTTAATGAAACTTGGCATGAGTGTTCATAATCACCCAAGGATGAACCCTATTGAAAATCAGAAGAATCAAAAAATAGTTAATATGAGTTATTGCCCTTGCTCTTGAAAACGTGTTCAATTTTTAGCTCATAAACACTCTAGAAGGCACAATTCTTGGTGGATTTTGACAAAACTTGGTGTGAGTGTTCGTAATCACCCAAGGCTGAACCTATTAAAAATCAGAAGAATCAAAAATATTTAGTATGAGTTATTGTCCTTATTCTTGAAAATGATTCAATTTTTAGCTCGTAATCATTCTAGAAGGCACAATTATTGACGGATTTTGATGAAACTTGGTGTGAATGTTCGTAATCATCCAAAGATGAACCATATCGAAAATCAGAAGAATTGAAAAATATTAAGTATGAGTTATTGCCCAATTTTTAGCTCGTAAACACTCTAGAAGGGACAATTCTTGACGGATTTTAATGAAACTTGGCATGAGTGTTCATAATCACCCAAGGATGAACCCTATTGAAAATCAGAAGAATCAAAAAATAGTTAATATGAGTTATTGCCCTTGCTCTTGAAAACGTGTTCAATTTTTAGCTCATAAACACTCTAGAAGGCACAATTCTTGGTGGATTTTGACAAAACTTAGTGTGAGTGTTCGTAATCACCCAAGGCTGAACCTATTAAAAATCAGAAGAATCAAAAATATTTAGTATGAGTTATTGTCCTTATTCTTGAAAATGAGTTCAATTTTTAGCTCGTAATCATTCTAGAAGGCACAATTATTGACGGATTTTGATGAAACTTGGTGTGAATGTTCGTAATCACCCAAAAATGATTCTTGCTGGATTTTGACAAAACTTGGTTTTAATATTCAGTCCCGCTCTGAAGATTGAATACTTGCCTTCTAGAGTTTTCACGAGTTAAAAATTGAACACGTTTTCAAGAACAAGGGAATAACTCATACTCAATATTATTCAGTATCGCCCTAATCCCTGCTGGTGGTAAGTTTTTGTATCAGACTTGAAGTAATTTACAGGATGATGCCCAGTTTGGCATTTATAAATTATCAATTGTTGAAGTTAATAATTCTTATAATTATTGGTGAGGTGGAAGAATCATACCAACTCTGGCCATATTGACCTCTCAGAACAATTTGTGTTATAATAGGTCTGAGGTTTTGACCCATATGGAGTTGTCCAGAACAATTACTATTTAAATTTGGGAATTACCACATTTCCAACTTGAATATATATGAATTGGCCTGAGTTTTCTGTTACTAATGAAAAAATAATGTACTATGAGGAAAGGTATGAAATTGGTAAATGAAAATATATATTTAGGCTTATGTGAATAAATCTATATGAAAATATCAAAGGATATCCAAAGTCAAGTTGGTTCAAGTGTTTGTAATCACCCAAGGATGAATCCTATTGAAAACCAGAAAAAATCGACAAATATTTACTATGAGTTATTGGCCTTGTTCTTGAAAACATGTTTTAAGCTTTAAGCCCGTAAACACTCTAGAAGGCACAATTTTTCACAGATTTTGACGAATCTTGCTGTGAGTGTTTGTAATCACCCAAGGATAAACCCTATTGGAAATCGGAAGAATCGAAAAATATTTATTATTTGTGATTGCCCTTGAAAATGCGTTTAATTTTTAGCTCATCAACTCTCTTGAACGCACAATTCTTGACAGATTTTGACAAAATTTGGTGCAATTGTATATTATCACCCATGGATGAAACCTATTGAAAATAAAAAAATGTTTTATAGGAGTTACTGACCTCAATCTTGAAAAATTTTTAGCATGTAAACACTAAAAGCCATTATTCTCTCTGAATTTGGACAAAACTTGGTAATATTATTCAGTTCAAAAGAAGTGTATGTCTGAAGGTAGAATATTTCATACAGTTGATTATTACTGTACTTATAAACATTTTTATTCAAAATCAAAATCTACAAAAGTTAAGAGTGCTGCAGTTATTGGTGTCGCTAGTGAGGGTATGCATGCTCAATCTCCCAAATTATTTTATGCAGATTTGCTATTAGGTATGTCAGATATTGATTCAGGTTCACATGAGACCATCGCAGACAGTCTAATCAACCTGAATCTGTTTACAATCTGTAAAAAAAAATTTTAAAAAGAAAACTCAGACCGTCTTCTAAAACTAAATCATTTTGGTTGTCAACAAATTCTTGAGTTTCGACCAATACATATCGGGAAAACTCAGACCTAATAATACAACCTCACCAATAACTATCTCTAGTATATTTCAGACAAAATTGCTCTTACAAAAATTTGACCAAACCGAATCTTTAACGAATGAATAATCTTAAAATGATAAGTGTTTCGTTTATAGAAGAAGAGTTTTGGTTTTTGCAAATGTAATTTATATTTTAACTTTTCTGGTTGAATTTGATTTGAAAAATGCACTTTGCATGTTGAATGGAATTAAAAAAATTTCAACTATAATCAAGATGTAGTATTTTGGTAAACTTTATCACCTATAGAAAATATGGCATGATCCATTACCTACCAGAAATGATATTCCTCTAGGTACCTTGTCATTCACTCCACATACATGCAGTTTAGCATCATTTGAATGAAGCTATAAAAAACTGTATATATGTATGCAAGATACTACTTCAATATTCTTAACACATCTCTAATGCTAATTTACACGTTAAATGTTTTTTTTTTATTGTAATATTTTTGTTTATGTTTGGTTTGTTTGTTTTTAATCTAAATATTGATTTGAGTACTTTCACTATTGTAGACAAATATTTCACCATACCACATAGTGGCTATATACATGAAGCTTATAAAGCAGCAGTAGCGGCTAAACGCCCAGCTTCAACTTCAGGTGTGTTTGTCAGAATCTGGAGTTTTTTTTTATTTCTTGTTATCACCTTTGGTACAGTACTCAAAGAACAACTGTTTCTGTAATCTAGCACATTTAAATTTGTGACCTGACACCACTAAATGAGTAACATCAAGCAAAATGGAAGTATTGAGTTACATATACAATCAGAAAGAAAATTGTTTAAGCTTCAAAATGATACCAAAATATTTTAATTATCTCAAACATTAACTGAATCATTACACTTCTGTAGTCCAGATACTTTTAACATGATTTTTACTCAAAGTTTGTGAATTACTAGGATGGTTATCCTACAAAATTGTGATTAAACAAGCTTTTGCACATTTTAATTAGGATTTTGACATGAATAACAGCGTAGTTGTAGGGTTAACGAAAGTATTTGTGCAATAACAATTTTTTTCATAATTTTCACCCCACTTGACCTTTGGAGGGCTGCAACTTAAAATAGGTATGTGCGCCAAGCGACTCATTTCGTGGTATCAGGTCACATTTGTGAAGGACGTCACTGGGTTCTTGTTTGGCTAGAAAGACTTCACTGACTTGTCCCTGTGACAGAAATTTTGGGAGACCTAAAGAGAATTGGAACTTTATATGAAAGTCTGCAAAAGTGTTAATTTCAATATAACATGTAACTATTGATCGATTCTGGATTGAGGAAGTCCTTATTGGAACCAAACTCAACCACTATTGTTTCTTTTCACATCTAAGAAACTAAAACACCTTGAATTATGAAAAAAATATGCGTAACATTTTAGGTTTTGCATATTTTTTTAATTTTTTGAAAAAGCAAAAGTGGCTCTTAAAGAGTTGCCATGTTGAAGTGAGCATGTGATACATACTTGAAATTCTTTTGGTTGACCTTCAGCAAGGTCACAACAAATTATTTGGAATCCTTGCCAACAAGGCACTTCAGAGCATCTTTTGATCAATCATAACAGATCTTCAGATCATTCCCAATTTTGTCGTAGGACTTTTTTGGACCAACTCACTCTGGCAGATTTTTTGAAGCCGATTAAATGTGTGCGCCTGCCTTTAGAAGTAATAAATAATCAAAGCGAAATGCAATAAAACTTGATTGTGATCATAAAATCTAAAATAATGATTCACAAGCAGTATTGATTAAATTCACTTTAGGTCACATGACCTATGGCCCGATTATAATAAGTGAGTCAGTGAAATCTGTTAAAAAGTTGTTTAAACTGTTGCATAACTCACCGGTTAATTAATTAATTACTAAAATTCAGATAATTTAATAGTATTTTACAAAAAAAATGCAAGAATTTGTATCTTCTTAGATTAGTCTGACACAGATTGATCTATTCAACTTTATATAATCTTATATGGAAAGTTTGAAATGTCCAATTTTCATGACATGCTTGAAGGGTTTCCAAAACATTCTAAAAGACATAAAGTCAACTTCAAACTGAAGGGAAGGACCCCAAATCTTCAAAAATGCACAACTAGTCTCATAAAATCATTATTTCATATAATAATTCTATATTTTCATAACATGAAATAGACCAGGCATCGCCCTTAACAACTGTAATATTTTCTTGCCAATTAGATTACAAAAACAGTTTTTCTTGATGTAATGTTTGAATGTTGTATGCATAATAAATGTTTTTAACCAGCCTTTAGATTGCATGTTACTATATGTTTTGAATCTGATGATTTGCATTTTTTCAAAGTTGTATTTACAGACAACAAATCATTGATACTGAAAAACCGGTTGTTACTAAATTTAATATGGGATATTCAAGATCCACTGACACAAATTATTCCAAATTTATCATATGAGGGCACCAGCTGTTTTACACTTTTTACTTTTACTATATAAATGTACTACACTACACAGCTAATTGGTTGAATTAAAAAAAGAATTAGATTATTGGCATTCTGCAACAATAGTTTTATGTAATTCTGATTCTTACAACCTTGATAATATGTATAAACACTGGCATGATGAACATATTATAATTAATATTTTTTGCTAGAATCTTTGCATTATGGAATGTTTAAACAAGCATTAGTATATAGTATGTTTCGGAGAATTAGATGATAAAGAGTTCACCTTTCCAGTGCAGTATCATCATTTCTGTTATCATTTCAGGATTACCTATAACTAATTTAAGAACAAATAGTTTAAAACGAAATGGTAACTCAAGTGCTTCGAAGCCACCACCTCCTGTACGTAGATCATCCTCTGTGTCAAGTGGATCGGGGGCTATAGCTAAGGTTAGAGCTTCACCTCCACACCAGAGAGGACCACCAGTGACTGCACCTAAACCGCCAAGTAAAGTCTTTTCTGGTAATCAGAACAATGGTAGGCTATCTCACGATGGACCTTATGCTGAACTGCAATTAATACAAAATAGTATCAAACATCAGCAACAGCAAAAACATAATTATCAGCAACAGCAACTTTATCAACAACAACACTCTGGACCTGTTTCTTTAAAAGCAATACCTATATCACCAGATAGATCCAGCACAGGATCTATATCTTCATCAATAAGTAGCAGTTCCCATTATGCTATATCTGTTGTTCAAGGGCAGAATGTTAGTGACACTCAACACATGCAAGGCATGAGCAATCAGTTTGCCACCATGAATATGCAGCATAATGTACAGGGTAGTGATGAGATTGATTTCCCTCTCCCTCCAACTGATGATGAACTAAAGGAAATAGAAAAGATCTATAGCAGGCCACCACCCCAGCTACCAGCTGCAAGTGATTTGGAATTTGTTAAGGAGTTAAAGCGTAGGGTGATAGCTGAGGATGGCTCTGATGTTTAATATATCATTTTTATACCTTTAGTCCAGAGTCTGGCCCACAGATAGTAACTGGTGTGTACCGTTATATCAAAATTGTTGTCAGATTCCCTTTATTATCAGGAGTTTTGATTTCTTGGTGTTTGCTTTGGTACTGTTGTTTTTTGTCTTTTACTTCTAATATTATTTAGTCATTGCTATTATTGAAATGGGTATATATATATGGATCACATATTGCTGCTATCTATTTATCTGTTAATCCATAAATTCTCTAAACACTCTAAAAAGGCAAGGTTGTTTGACAAAATTTGATGGAATTGTTGCCTTAAAAAAAATATTTCTTCATAGGAGTTTTCCTTGTTCTTTCTTTAATTTTAACATCTAAACACTTTTTGAGAAATTTAGTGGAATTTGTTATCATTCATTTTATGGTTAATTTCTCTAAAGAAACTTAAATCTGTTTTATGAAACAAATACTCAAAATTGTGTATTCCTGAACTTCTTAAGAAATTTTTTTTAGATAAATACTTTGACATGATAAAGATCCTAAAGGGCATTTATAACCTTGTCTAACCATGAGAATTAGCCTGTTATATAAACCAACAGAGATATATTAAAAAATACTCAAATTGTTTAAATTGTTGTTTTTGATTGTAATTTTGTTTAGTAATGCCTGAAAGACCATTGACTGAAACATCTTGCCTTTTGATTTACCTGTAACCATCATTATATAATACCTTATTCCTTTCACTGTTTTTATTATTTATGTTAAAATAGGTTCAGTTAATGGAAATTCTACACCCACTACAAATGCAGCACATTGGTAGCATTCAATACCCTAACACTTTCTCAAGATAATTTCTTTTAACATCATAACATCAATTTTTCTGACAGACTAAAAAGGTGTTGAATGAACCAATTCTGAATAGCTGCCTGTAATAATGATTTGCCATATGCAAGCAGGTTTGAAGACTTATGTTTATAATTTCGGATAGTTGCAATATAGATGCAATGTTTCTTGTGTTTGATCTCTGAAATGTTATATTGATATCTCTCTAAATTAAATTGATTAGATTTGATTAAAGTTAAATACTGATCTTGAAAGATAGATCTATCTTGCAGACAGATCTTTTAATTTTTTTAACACTCTCACCTAATCAGCATTTCTACTAAGTGAAAATTATTTCGTAAAGAATTTCTCAATACCGTGACATTTGACTGACATCGAGGTTAGGTTCTAAGTAAGTTAGGTTATATAACATTCAAATTTCATACACTAATTGTCATCACAGGGTGTAGGCAATAAAGGTATTATACAGTAATACAAGAATGATGTCTGTTGATTTTCTTGATGAGGTGAGGTTTTCGAATGTATTGACAATCTCATGTTTTAGAACATGTAGGTTGATATTAAGGTAACAGTGAATTTTATGGAATTTTGTGATGATCAGCATATGAGCTGAAAGTGTTAGGCCCACTCTTCAAATGTTATTTATGGTTGATTACTGTCCATTTTGGTCATGAGTTTAGGAAAGTGTTGACATTTCTTGTGCTGAACTACTGATTGATTTTAGAGTATGATTTATATTCCTTTGCAATAAATTTCATGGAAGAGAAAAATTAAGGTATGTTTATATTTCAAAGTTTACTTCCATGAAATTAACATTAGTCGCTTAATTGTTTAAATTTTATAGATCTTCTGCTTTTGAGTTATACTTTGAAGTTCATTATGAATCTACGTTTCTCAAACCGAAGTATTTCATAAGACTGGAATTTAACATTTAGAAATAGCACACAATACGAGGAAAGTTGCTTTTTTGGATTCTGCGATTTATTGCGAGATGGAGGTAAAAACCTATCTTTTTATATATTATTGAATCTCAATCTCTATTTTTTTATACATATAAAAAATAACAGAAATAAGTAACCGACATTAAAAAAGCTTCCAATGCGGAAATACATAATTTTTTTGAAAATATAATAATGCTGGCAGAGTGTCTCTGAGATTTCAGTGCAATTGACCTGCAATAAACTCAATAATGTGCACGTATATTGCCGTCGCCCCTGTCTGTCCACATTTCGTTTCATTTTCGTTTTTATACGATCTTAATGAAACTTGATATGTATTTACATATTAATGAAAGTTTTAATCCATCTTTATCAAACTTGGTATGCATGTATATATGAATAAGATCTTTGTTAAGTAGAACAGGTTTTGAGTTATTGTCCTTGACTTAGTTAATGCCTCAACTTTGACACGCTAAAGTGATACAGTTTATATCTGAAAGCTGGTGTGAAGGAATGAAATCTTGGTAAAGTTTAAAATTTTTTAAAGTTTTTATGATCTTTTTTGAAACTTTGCATTCCTATGTATTGATGATATCTTAGTCAATCTTCGACATTAGATATTTTGTAATTTTAAGGAACTGCCCTTGGCTGTTATAGCGTATCCAATTTTATGTTCATGTTGATGATAATTCGATAAACTGTTCATTGACTTATGAGATAACATTAAGATTTTGACAAAATTTCCAAGTCACTAAAGACTTTATCATTTCTGACAGGTGGAAGTGAGTGTATGTTACTTTGCCTAGCAAGCCATCTTTAATAATTTAAAAAAATAATAAGTATTTTCTCATTTGAGATAATCCACATTCTATTGGTTTTTATTGTAATGTATCGCTAAGTTTATCTTTTACAATCACACTAAAATTGTACAATCAAGATGTAACACATAAGAAAAGAAAGAAACAAAATTGTTTGTAAATTTTATTGCCTCGATGAGACTCAGGTTTGATGAAAGAATTAACAAGTAAGGATTGAAAATCATAGTATATGTATATTCATTTTAAGATATGAATTAACAGTTATGTATCAATAAATTACCTTATGAAATTTCCAATTCTAAAATATCATTTCGTTCATAATTATTAATTTATAAACTAATATACAGGTATGTAAAGTAGTGCTTAATATAAGGTTAATAAGATGTTTTCATTATACGCTACATCAGGTGTCTCTAAAAAAAAAATAACCTTTCTTAAACATGTTTTTTCTTAAAGTATCAAAGAAAAGTCCATTACTTCAACACAGTGGCTTCAGTGGATTGCAATCGAGTGAGGGTGGTCAATGTCTTATATTTAATACTCAAAATTTTTTTAGTTTACAGACAGATGGTGCAGAAAATTTGGTTAAATTGGCTATATATAACTAAGGACTATATATAGTGAAATGACAATGATTTCTCTCAACACTTTTTGAAGTCGTTCAACCTAGAAAGCTGTTTAAGTTTGTGAAACAATACCTTATCTCTATGCAAATCTGGGTTAAAATATTATGAAATGTGCTTCAATACTTTATAAAAAAAAATCCTGAAACTGTTATTGTTTTTTTAGAGCCACCAGATATATATTTTTATTTTTGTTGTAAGTAAAATTATGTTTTTAGTTTCTTGCCAATGTGTTTTAAGTAAAATGTATATTCATGTTAATTTTTGAAGTAAATTGTTCATTTAATCATATTTTTCTGTAATTGATAGATTTACAAATTAGATCCCCGAATTCAGTCATAGCGTAAATTTAGATACAGTAAATTGTTTTTCTAAAGTTTCCACATGTGAAACACAATACATAGCCATGATAACACAATAATAATCTCTTCAAATAGTTTGTTCAGTAACTAGAAAAATTTGAGGTAACAAAGTGTCCTATCTTGACATATTTGCATCCTACAATGTCACTGTCTTTATCGTGGACATATATGAAGAGGATTATTTATAAGGATGTAGAAAATACCTTAATATTTACAAAATCTTTGACATTTTGTACCTTAGAATGGGTTCCCTCAACACCTCACCTAAATTTTTATTTTTAAAACTTAAGTGCGCCCATGGTTTGTTTGGCATAAAAAGTAGCGGGATTCCAATTATCCCGAGAAAGTATGATTAATTGAATGGTTTATGTTCAAAACAATTATGAAAGTTTATGTAAATAGTCTATTTTATGCTTTTCAATATCTGTCTCGTCTGGCAATTATTAGTTCATTTGTTTTTTAGTTGCCAATTCTATTAATTAGTTTTGAAATTGCCTAATCAAGTGTAATTTCTACTTTTGTCAAATGGTTGAAAGATCATTATAATAAATAGTAACTATGTAAGCTACGTTGACTCTCTCTTTCAGAAGTGCTTGGTGGATAAAAAAAATAAGAATAAAATTTTCCCGAATACAACCCTTCACAGTTCGATTGATTACGGAGAAACTGTTGAATTGACACATTCTAATTAAAATGTGGATGTATACTGTCTTTAATCATGTTTGTCCATCTGCAGACCCGATGAGAGTTTTAATTTGATAAAAAAAAACTTGGATTGCTTATATTATCTTAATACTCGCTAACTAATACATTAGTTAATAAAATATCTATATTGACAAGATTGTAGATTAATTTTGGATGATTTTATACGCCCACATGAAATGGGGGGCGTATATTGTCGTCACCCATGTCCGTCCTTCCGCCCGTCCACAATTGCTCGTAAACGCTCTAGAAGGCACTATTCTTTGCTGATTTTGATGAAACTTGGTGTGTGTTTTAATAATCACCCAAGCCTATTGAAAATCAGAAAAATGAAAAATATTTAGTGCGAGTTATTGCCCTGACAGATTTTGATGAAACTTGATGTAAGTGTTTGCTATTACTCAAGGATGAACCTTATTGAAAATCCAAAAATAATTAGTAGTGAATTATTGAAAATTAGATAAGAGGCTGATCAGTGAGGTTAAAAATACGATGTGTCGGAGGATGAACCTCTTCGAGAAGTGCGGTGAAAATTGAGGGTACCTGTGGAAACCTGCAAACTTAAGCTCACACACTAGGGTCTCTTCCTCTAGGTCAGTGGTTCTCAACCTATTATATCCTTCACACCCCTGGAGCAATCACGTGGACCTTTCACACGCCAAAAAATTTGTTTCGTCCACATTTGCAGCATGTGATGATGTGAGGCGCTCTCTCAACTCAAAATAAATTCT